AGTCACCAGAATCGAAAATCAGCATACTTTGTGTAAATAATTTGTGCATCAACTCTTGCAGTAGGCTGTTCTCTTCTCTGAGTTTTTGTATTTTTTTGACTGAGCATATGCTTATCACACAGAAGTAGGATTTTCGTTTTTATAAGCATTGTGCTGACCACATAGCACACAAAGTATGTGATAATTTCTTCTGAAAATAAAGGTTTACAACTAGATAATAACATTTTACTAGGTATTGACACTTTTGCTTTTATTACATCCTTGGCGATTCAGCTTTTATTACTCCCTTCACGGAAAAACATAGTTGTTTGAGAAAATAATTCTGAAATTGTTCTTCAGGCAGCTTTATTTAAGGAAAAGAAAAGAACTCCTTAATAAACTGTTGTAGAGTATTTCTCTGCTGATGTAGACTAAGAATTAAAAAAAAACAAGTATAAGCTGCTCACTTTTGTCTTAAAATAGCATCTATCCTTTTAATTTTCACATTTATTAATCTAAGTAATGATTACTGAATATATTCATATACAAGGAATGCTCAAAATGGTTCTGGAATAGATTTTATGAAAAAAAATGTGCATTAATTTTGCAGGTTTTTTTTTTTCCATCAGCATGAACTTGTCTTTTCATTTTATTTCCCTTGCACTTTTTGATATGTTTTCATATACCATGTGCTTTCGCCTTCAGTTCGAGTTACATATGCAGGTGCTAGCTGATGCTCTCATGAAAGGATAAACCATGTTTGAGCAGAGAGCAAAAGATTTCTTCAACTAGGTAACACCTGTATTTTAAGAAGTAAATAATAATTCAAGTATGTTTGAAATTCAGGAAACTGCAGGTCAATTATCTTAAACGTAGTACTTCTTTTTGTGTTTAGGATACTTCTGTGCTACACTTAAACAGTTAATAAATTAAGTAGCCATTCTACTTACCTTTTTTCTGCCCTCATACCATCTTGATGTTATGCTTAAACATAAGTCACAGGGCTTACATTTTTTTTCCATTGTTAGAGAGGATGTAAGTGTCAATTGAACTAATTGCCATGAAGTAGAACTAATGTTGGAACCATATCTTAGTTGTTCTTTATTCCTGAAGGAGATGAGACAGAAAACAGCCCTGGAATACTCATTCAAAAATGGTGGTAGGGCCCAGCGTGGTAGCCTAGTGGCTAATGTCCTTGCCCTGCATACACCAGGATCCCATTTGACCGCTGGTTTGCGTCCTGGTTGCCCCACTTTTCATCCAGCTCCCTGCTTGTGGCCTAGGAAAGCAAGCAGTCAAGGATGACCCAAAGCCTTGGGACCTTGAAAAACCAGGAGGAGGCTCCGGGCTCCTGGTTTCAGATCGTGCAGCTTCAGCCATTGCAGCTACGTGGGGAGTGAACCAGGAGCTGGAAGATCTTCCTCTCTGTCCCTCTCCTCTCTGTATATCTGACTTTGCCATAAAAATAAATACATCTTTAAAAAAGTAATGGTAAAATCCTACTGAAACTGCACTGCCACATCAAATTTAGAGATTGTGGTAGACTGCTGTTAAAAATGATTTGTGCGTTACGTGTAGGCATTTCTGGTTTAGGCTCACTGGACAATAGGATTTTATGTGCATAAACCAGTAAATCATTTATAGAGCCTAAATATCTGGAAAGGGGGACATTATACATATAATCACCTGATTAAAATAGGTACTTTTGTGTAAGGGTAACTACATACAATACAGTCCGATAGAGCTTTTTGCAGTTTCGGGAATGTTCTGTGCTTTTGCTGTGTAATACAATAGTCACACAGATGGTTATCGGGAATTTAAATGATACTAGTATAATTGAGGACGGACCAGAACAGTTTATCTAACTTTAGTTCATTAAGATTTACATTGAAATCCTCCCTTGCAGTCACTACCATATTGATTAGTATAGTCATGGAAAACAATAGAGCAGCACGGACATTTTCCTTTAGCTTGTATGTGTATGTCATTATCACCTTGAGAATTAGGAAGTACGTCTTTGGGCGTGGGTATTTGCGCTGGTGGTTATTAAGCCAGTTAGATTAGATGCTAGTTTAGATTCTCTCACTGCCACATGGAAACATTTGGGTTTGATTCCTCGTGCTACCTTCTGACTCTCTTGTTCTGCTGTGGCAGAGCTTGGGAAATCATGCATGACAGCTTGGGTGATTGAGATCCTGCCAGCCAGGAAGACACCTGCCCAAGGCATTCATTATAAGTGTTTAGGAAGTGAACAGGCAGTTCCGAGTTACTCTCTTCTTTCTCTCTTCTTCTCTCCATTGGTTCTCAAACAAATAAAAAAGAACAGTCTATCTTCTAAGACTGTTTCATGTTTTACATGCAGCGATTAAGAGACAGTATAGCAAAACAAAAAAAAAAGAGAGAGATACAGTATGTCTTTGTCTCTTTAATATTTCAGTTGTTATAACCTACCCTTGATTTGATTGGGAAAGTAAAAATCATCTCAAAATTCAGGTAAACATGTGAGATTAAATTCTAAATAGGTAAACAAGAGACATGCACACCTAAAAAACATGAAATTAAAGTTAAACTCACATATTGTTTGCCTTCCTCATGAAGTATTTTCCATATGTGCTTTCCACATGTACATAGTTGGGTAGTTGTGTCTGAAAATCAAGAACCACAGAACATTTGAATTTTTCTTTTAAACAGTATTAAGACAAGGGCACTGGCAAAATGGTTGTAGAAAATTTAAATTAAAAGCTGTTTGTTTTGATTAAAAAAATTTTAAATCCATGCCTGATTGCTTTCATAAAATATGCACAGAGCTGAACTTTTTGTAATCCCCTTTTTAATCTTGTGCAATATCCTAGTACTTTCTTTTATTTTCTTGTGATTTGCTACGGGGCATTTGTGCACATCTTTGGATATTTTTTATTCTGAGATTCACTTGCATATTTCTTCAGGTGCAGTGCTGTAATATACCTTGGGGAAGGAATTATATGTGGGTTATGAATTGTAAGATGATATTTCAGAGATATTAATTAAAACCTTGATTTTTATACCAATTTGCCTTTTTTTCAAAATTTGATACGAATTAGCCATAGTATACGGGGTTGTGCTGTTCATAACTCATGCAATTAAAGCAAGAATTCTGTTCATATTTTGTTCATGTGATCAAGTAAACCATCTTTTTTTTCTAAAAGATACAGCAAAGCAAATCTTATATGTATTTGCTGTGTGATAGTGGCAGAGTGAAAATATATTATTTTTACTGCATATTTTAACAAAAAGAGAATTTTGTTACAGAAATATTTAACTCAGGTAACTACAGTGTTTAGTATTGTCATTTGATTGAAAGAAGTTTCATAATTAGTGAAAATTTTGTTTTTGAAATGACATCCCAAAGACTTTTAGGAAGTTTCAAATCTAGAGTGTGTTTGTTATGAGTGGGGAAATAGCTTCTATATTGTAACTCATAAAAATGTATGGTGTCCAATCTTTGCATGCCGATATTGAGTGTTTCATATGATAAGAACATTGTTCTTAACTGGAGATATATGATCGTGAGTAAACACATTTTACTAACAAAATGGAAATTAAGTACTAGCCAAGGTGAGAGAAAATCAATACCAATCTAAGTATTTAATTATGGCATTGCTACTATCATAGTTTTATGAATTAAGTGGGCAATTGCATTTTTAATATGAACTATACAGGGAAAACCTCACTTGAGGTTAAACTAAGCAGATAGTATCATGTATGAGGCAGTTCAGAAAGTTTATGGAAAATATAATATGCATTTCCAGGAACTCTTTGAAATCCCCTCATATGCATATATGAATGAATAAAGACATGTGTATTTAAAGATCACTCAAATAATAGGAATATTAAGCTCATCTTCAGATCTTCATTTCACACCCTCCACTGTCAAATTTCTGTCAAAATGCTGCAAGTACCAGTGAACAAGTGCCCCTCAAAACAACTCAATACCATTCCTCAATCAGCTGACATATTCACTATTTGTCTGTCTAGGAATCTTTTGATTCTAGTTCTGATTAGAAAAATGTTTGTTAAACATCCCAACACTATGACCTAAGGGGCATAGAGAAAAAATGGATATTGTCCCAATTTATCTTTGCCTATTTTTCTTTCATTATATGCCCATTATCATGGCTTATAAAAAAAGAATGAGGGATTAATAACACTATTGTTAATTCACTCCACAGAACTTTTCTTTTTTATCATATGTTCCTAAAGGAAAAATTAGGGATTCTTTGTACTCATAAGCTATATAAATTTGCAACAAGAGATTCTTTTATTTCCTCCATCTGCCAAAGGTTTTCACTGTATTTATTAAATGTTTTAAATGTTGTTCTCTTGGATGACTGTTCTATACTTTATAGTTATATTCAGTGGCTAAAAAGCTGTATTAAACAAGTGAAATCTATAGTAAAATATATTTTAATTAACTGACAGTAATCATAGGTAATTCACCTGTAGCTTCAATTTTATGTAAAAATTAAAGGTATTTTTTTAAAAAATGTGTTTATTTGAAAGGCAGAGTTACACAGAAATACAGAACAAGACACAAATGACTGTAATTAGCAGAGGTAAGCTCTTATGATGCCAGGAGTTGGCTTTACCCACTATGCCACAGTGACAGTCCTGTAATAATGCTTTAGAAAGTTCTGTAGACTACATGCTTTGAAAACTTTAATGGCTTCAAAAATGTTAAATTAATTATCATGAACTATAACCACACCACCTGTTCACAAGCAGCTAGCACAACTCTTATTTTTCAGATATCTGAGGAAATTAAATAGTTTGCTTGTTATTACAATATTACTGATATGTAGAACTGAGATTTAGATCATGGGTCTTCTGGCACCTGTAACTGAACTGATTTTACTATGCAATGTGTTCAAGGAATTGAAAGTTGTTCTCATTACACAGCTAACATGGGCAAATCATTTAATGGTGCATATTTATAATAACCTACTGATTTTCATTAAAATTAGATTTCATGCCTTATTTTTCAGGGTCAAAATATTTTTGGGCTTGATGTCATTGAAACACCGGAAGGAGACAAGATGCCACAACTGATTGTTCAAAAGGAGCTAGATAGGGAAGAGAAAGATACCTATGTGATGAAAGTAAAGGTTGAAGATGGTGGCTTCCCTCAAAGATCCAGTACTGCCATCTTGCAAGTAAGTGTTGCTGATACAAATGACAACCGCCCAGTCTTTAAGGAGAATGAGATTGAAGTCAGTATACCTGAAAACGCGCCAGTGGGCACTTCAGTGACACAGCTCCATGCTACAGATGCTGACATAGGGGAAAATGCCAAGATTCATTTCTATTTCAGCAATCTAGTCTCCAACATTGCCAAAAGACTGTTTCACCTCAACACCACCACTGGGCTTATCACAGTCAAAGAACCACTGGATAGGGAAGAGGCACCAAGCCACAAGTTACTGGTTTTGGCAACCGATGGTGGATCCATGCCTGCGAGAGCCATGGTGCTGGTAAATGTTACAGATATCAATGATAACGTCCCATCCATTGATATAAGGTACATCATCAATCCAACCAATGGCACCGTGGTTCTTTCAGAAAATGCCCCACTCAACACCAAAGTTGCTCTCATAACTGTGACTGATAAGGATGCTGACCATAACGGTAGGGTGACGTGCTTCACGGATCATGAAGTCCCTTTCCGTTTAAGACCAGTATTTAGTAATCAATTCCTACTGGAGACAGCTGCGTATCTCGACTATGAGTCCACCAGAGAATATGCCATTAAATTGCTGGCTGCAGATGCTGGCAAGCCTCCTTTGAATCAGTCGTCCATGCTCCTCATCAAAGTGAAAGATGAAAATGACAATGCTCCCGTTTTCACGCAGCCTTTCATAAGTATTTCCGTTCCTGAGAATAACTCTCCTGGCACTCAGCTGACAAAAATAAGCGCCACGGATGCAGACAGTGGGCAGAATGCTGAGATCAGTTACCTGCTGGGTATTGATGCTCCATCCGAATTCAATCTGGATCATCGTACAGGCATTCTGACTGCAGTGAAGAAACTAGACAGAGAAAAACAGGAAAAATATTACTTCACAGTTCTGGCAAAAGATAATGGAATACCATCCTTAATAACTAATGCCACCGTCTTAGTGACTGTTCTTGATCAGAATGACAACAGCCCAATTTTCACCCACAATGAGTACAACTTCTATGTCCCAGAAAACCTTCCAAGACATGGCACAGTGGGACTCATCACAGTAACAGATCCTGACTATGGAGAGAATTCTGCAGTCACTCTCTCCATTGTCGAAGTGAACGACGAGTTTACCATCGATCCACAGACTGGTGTCATCCGACCAAATATTTCATTTGACCGAGAAAAACAAGAATCTTACACTTTTTATGTTAAGGCTGAGGATGGTGGTAGAGTATCGCGCTCTTCAACTGCCAAAGTAACCATTAATGTGGTTGATGTCAATGACAATAAACCTGTTTTTGTTGTTCCTCCTTCCAACTACTCCTATGAACTGGTTCTACCATCCACTAGTCCAGGCACAGTGGTCTTCCAGGTAGTTGCCATTGACAATGATACTGGCATGAACGCAGAAATCCGTTACAGCATTGTAGGGGGGAATGCAAATGGTCTTTTTATGATTGAGCAAATATCAGGAAACATCACACTGAAGGAGAAATGTATTGTTGCAGACCTCGGTTTGCACAGATTGGTAGTAAAAGCTAAGGACTTAGGACAACCTGATTCCCTCTTCAATGTTGTCATTGTCAATCTCTTCGTCAATGAGTCAGTGACCAATGCTACACTGATTAATGAATTAGTGCACAAAAGCATTGAAACTCCAGTGACACAAAATGTTGAGACAACTGATGCATCCTCACCAACCAGTGACTATGTCAAGATCATGGTTGCCATTGTTGCCGGCACCATAACTGTCGTCCTAGTGATTTTCATCACTGCTGTTGTGAGATGTCGCCAATCACCACATCTTAAGGCTGCTCAGAAAAACAAACAGAATTCCGAATGGGTTACTCCAAACCCAGAAAACAGACAGATGATAATGATGAAGAAAAAGAAGAAGAAGAAGAAGAAAAATGCCCCTAAGAACTTGCTTCTTAACTTTGTCACTATTGAAGAAGCAAAGGCGGACGATGCCGATAATGATGGAAACAGTGTCACACTTGACCTTCCTATTGAGCTGGAGGAGCAAACCATGGGCAAGTACAACTGGGGCACAACACCTACTACATTCAAGCCTGATAGTCCTGATCTGGCCCGACACTACAAGTCTGCCTCTCCACAGCCAGCTTTTCAGATCCAGCCTGAAACTCCCCTGAATTCTAAGCATCACATCATTCAGGAACTGCCTCTTGATAACACCTTCGTGGCCTGCGATTCCATCTCCAAGTGTTCCTCCAGCAGTTCTGATCCCTACAGTGTGTCTGAATGCAGCTATCCAGTGACGACCTTCAAAGCCCCTGTGTCTGTGCACGTCCGACCGGTAGGTAGTATGTTTTATAATGTAACTTTCTAACTTCATTTTATTTTTTAAAATATTTTTTTTTCAGTTGAGTTGAGACTTAACAAAGTCTAATGACTTCAAGGGAGGATCAAAATGAACATAATCTGCAAAAACCTTATAGATACAGAGATTCATTTCAGTTCCGTAGACAATCCGAACAAAGTGATTAATAATTATAGAAAATTGGGTGCACAATTATGCTTATAATAGAGGTAATTTTGTCTGTAGATGGCAGTGTGGCCCTTCTTGCTGGAGAATATATTGGAAGAACTCCAAAATAAGGGTCACAGCACTGTTCTCTGTACCATTGTGTGCATAAGGGTCATAATAGCTTTGGCGAGTTCCATAGGGGACATTTTTGAAATTGACAAGCAATTCTTGATACTAATTGGAATTGAGATTCTTACTATTACTTGGGAAAACTTAGGGCTCATCAAGGAACCCAAATGGCACCAAAATGTCTTCTCAAATCCTGTCTCAGAACTTAAAAAAAAAAAAAGGAGTATCATTTTTATATTAGGAACTGAAAATTATTCTTATTCATAAAATATGGTTTCATAGAATATAATAAAAAATTAGATTAGATAAATGAAAATATGATCACTCTGACCTTTAAGAGAGGGGATGACATATACATGGGATCCCTATATTAGATGCCTGGGCCCATTTAAATACTTTCATATTTATATAAAAATTCAGAGCCCTTCGGGAGGCGTGTTTTAAAGACAGTGACTTTTGGAAAAGGAACTATGTTTGCTTTCTCTAAATATGATGAAGGAAAACATGGCCATATTAAGACACAAGAAAGCTGCAATAAATTGAAACCCAACAGATATAAAAAGAATTCGTGCTTTTAATCTTTATCACATAAAGAAATGAGTGCAAATTTATCCTAGAAATTCGTAAGAATCACATGGATTAAATATATTTAATTCCTAAATAAAAGTAAGCAGTGGAGTTAACTGCATTTTTTTGTTGTTGTACAAAGTTCTTTCACATGTAGACTGTTTTATTCTGTCTGGGTAACTAAAATTAGACTTAATCGCTGTTATGGTGAATAATGTCTTTTGAAAATTTATTCATGCTTAATAAAGAGGTACCAATGTCAACTAGGCATTTCTACTTGCGAAAAATTAGAGCTGTTAAAGAAGACTGCCAGATTCAAGGTAACAGTGCAAATGATTTACTACAACTTTGGAAATGGCTTTAAGATTGGCGGTCATTCAAGGGTGTGACACAAATAATATTAAATAACACAAATAATGTTAAGCTTTTTCTCTTTATCACATGGTAAAGGTAAGTCTCTAAGTTCAACTGTGGATATTTGTATGAATCAATGGTTGTATAATTTAATGATATTGCAAAAATAAGATGAAATAATATGCTAGGCTGTGTGTGGACTCTCTGTTTTCCTTTGGATGAATTTACTGGGCAGTGGTTATCTCTACAAGTCAATCAAATCCAATATGTCCATATGTCGGTGGCTCTTGGATGGGTGACAAAAAAGTACAGATTTTTCATACCTCTGCAGGTTATGTTTTAGTTTATATTTAACCATGTAAAAGGGTGTTCTCATTATCTACTTGTTTTTGCTATTGTACAGCTTACTGAAAATTTTTCTCAACAAAAAAGTTATCTTTTTTTGCATAACACCATACTGTATTGAATTTTATAACAACATTTTTCTCTACATTAACTTGGTAACTTGCTCTAAAAGGGGAAGAAAGGGTGTATATGGGAATTATTTTGTGGATCACTGTTGTTAGTAAAATTATTTATTAAGTTAATCAAAAGCAGCAAGTTCTGGTTGCAGGTACTTTCAAAGGCACAGAAAAGTTCTCAGACGTAAACTAATTTTATTTAAGCGTATGAACATACAGTAAGCAAGGTACAGCTATAGGGAAAAAATTGAAGCCTTTAAAAAATGTCACCACTTTTATTTTTAAAAATATTTTGTAATCTTAAAAAGTCATAATTAATTATTGCTTCCCATGATAGCATTTTTTTTGTTATGCTGATAAAATTCCTTTTTCTTAAACATTGGAAAGCAACTCTGGGAATTAGGCAAAATAAGAAAGATAAAGGCTCAGGAAAATGAGTTATTTATTGACATTAGGATTTTATTATCTGGAAGGGCAAACTTAAAATCATTGAGTTTTCACGAGAGTGTTATTTTTCCACGATTTTAAATATTAAATACAACTTTGTGTCATTGGTTAACAGTAGCTTCATATTCAATACAAAATATTTTGTAAACATAAAATGGTGCACTCAGGCATACTTATTTGGTACTAAAATTAATTTGAATGCTTTATTTTGTGCTAAATCTTCAAATTTCTTTGTTCTTATTATCCAATCTTCAATTGGTAATGAAGCTAGGAGAGGCACTTTATATTCACTGATACTGCAGAATGCTAGTAAGATAAGTAGGCACTGGAAAAGACATTATATATTTAAAAATTCAAATACAGTATGTGTCTTCTTTTCAAAGAAATACCACAGAAAATGCAGAAAAATGTTAGTCAGTAAATCACAATTCATTGTTTCTTAGGGAAATTCTGACAGCAGAATAAAATATGGCTGTAGCAGAAGGCAGTAAACTTAAACTTTTGTTTGCATTAAACAAAGAGAAATACATTTTCAAAAAGAGAATTTACAATAGTATTTGCAGTTACATCATTACTCTAGTAGAAATATGGTAATGAGGAAATAGAATGGTTTTGGTAAACTGTAAGATGCAAGAAAATTTATTAGAAATTTTTTATTTTGAAAAGGAAATCGAATAGTTTCTACAGTGATTTGTTTTCTTACTGTGGTTATCTGAAAAAATATGGAGTCATTATCAAAAAGGAGAGCATATATTGCATAAGGCTGCTTTTACTTGAGAAATGTTATGCACCTCTTTGGCATAAGATTTTACATAACTATGGACGACATTTTGTGTATCTTGAAGTAGAATTGGGAACTGTACATTTAAGAGAATGTTTTTTCAGATTATCCTATGTGAACAAAGACCTTTCAAAGTTATCAAGTGGTATTTGGTTTTTATGTCCCTAGAAAAACCGTAAGTATTAACAACTATTTAAAAGTCAGTTTTGATAATTTTCACCTAAAGGAGACAACTTAACAGAACTTAACTAACAAAGTTATTAAACTATCATTTAGCATTACACTAATGTGAAATCTATACAGTTGTAAAACACAGAATGAAAAGGAAAGCCTTTTTGAATGGATTACTGTATGCCACTCAGTGCTTTAGACATTTCTTTGAGGTACTTTATTCTCTGCTATTCCTTTAAAACAAACGAACAAACAAACAAACCAATTTTAGAGATTTGAGTCTTGTGATTTATGGAGGTAAAAAGAATGGTGAAATGTTGGCCCAGATAAGATTTGTAGATGAATGAAATTACATTGTAGATACAATGTATGAATTAAAACTGCTAACAGGATTTTATATTAGCTTGGATTAAGGCTAGTATCTACTATTGATAAATTCAGTATCTTTGATTTTGTACACCTATAGTTTAACCTTGTACATTTTAGCCATGTAGCATGCTTGGCAAATAAGATTTCTGAAACACAGCCATCTGATTTTGATAACGTGTTATTTTTCTTGCCCTAGACTGATTCCAGGACATCAGCTATTGAAATCTGCAGTGAGATATAACTTTCTAGGAACAACATAATTCTATTGCTTTTCCAAACAATTTCAATGAGTTGTTATTTCAAAATTTGGCTAGGATTATTTATTTTGTAATCTGTATCCCCCCATAAAAACCAGGAAAACAAAAAGTATATGAAAATGTTGTTTCAGTGAAACTTGTACTTTCGTTAGCTGTAACTTGGCCATCAAAATTTAAAATTCATGAACAAAACAGTGCAGTGCAATAACAGAGTTTTACCATGCTGCTTCTCTGTTTCCTTGCTCTGAATTTCAACAGCAGCAATGTGATAGAATGCTATTATCCTGTTATACACTCTAATGATTAATATATCAGTCATGAAACATGGAATCCGTTGCCCTGTTTGATTGCTGAAGAATCCTGACCTCATCTTGGGGAGTTTGGAAGTGAAGCTGAACTGTCCAAGCTACCCTCTGTATGGTATCCAGGGCAAGAGATATTTTTAAGACTAAAAACCAAGCAAACGAAATGAAAGCAAACAAAAAAAATGCAATGTTTTGAACTAACATAGTGTTGAGAAAATCATTACAATTATTCACTACCCTACTTAAAAGTTGGATGATAGAAAATAATCATAATAAGTTTTTTGGTTGATTGTAATCATGTTGTTCCAATACTTTTTTATCTTGAAAACATTGTAATCGTGTTTCTTTTTTCTAGAAATACGTGAAAAAAACATCTTCCTGTTTTTATCTACCAAAGGAGGATGTAAAGTTCTTTATACTCCCTGATACCTTGAGAAAATGCAGTCATATTTTTAAATATGAAACATAACTTCAATCACATGAGTGTAGAAACACGGCTTTAGGCAGGGTATTTGAAAAAGATTATATCTTAATTTTGAAACTACCCAGGGAATGTATAAAGCATTTCAGTCATATTTGAAGAGATTTATTTTATTTCTCTGATATTAAATTACTGAATATATACCATTGCTTCCAGCAATTTGCCTTTCAAAATTTACTCACCTTTCACACTCTGTTGATGAACCGATTTGCTAGACAAACAAGTCAGTGCTTTGAATTGGGTGCACACTGTATCTTACTGGAGAAAAATGACAAACTGTAATTTTATTCTGCATTCTTTAAACTGGTTATGACTTACTAACAATACTAACAGAATTAACAACAAACCATAATGATTCTTTGGGAGAAAAGGGAGTATAAAGGACACTTAAAATCACAACATGACATAGCATATGCTTCTGAATTTTCATTCAAATGGTTCAATGTGCATCCTTTTATCACAGAAAATGGGAATAGGATTTGGTCTTTATGTATAAACATTAAAATC